ATCATGCTTCATCATCTTTTGTGTTATCCTTAGGCTCTGACAAACTTTCCAGACAGAAACTAACTCTTCCTAAGTATTTGCACACCCAATAGCACATCAGAGTCCTGGAAGTTTTCTAGGCATTCTTGCACCATTAATAGGAAATAGTTGTAGGAAAGCCACTTTATAGGAGCTTTTGGTCCATATTAAGAAGTCAAATAGTAACAAATTGAAGGGGACACCAAGCATGACCCAGGAAGGGGATAATACTCTGCATCCCGTTTTTGCAATCAATAGACAAGCCACTCGGCTATTTAGCAAGACTGCTGCCAGTAAACCAGTATGTCTCCCAGATTCCTAACAGCAAGAGCAAAGAATACATTCTCTGGTGACCTCTGCAGATTTAGCAAGTCTGTATTAATTTTTTTATTTAAAAAAAAAAACAAACAACCAACCCAGCTGTTGCTGGATGTAATTTCTAGGTATTGTAATTAATTTATTTTTAATCCCATGGAGAAATAATTTATACTGCCTCGGTTGCTAGCTATTCAAGATATTGCGGTTACATTTTTGGTGTCTTTGGTACATTTTATTGTAACATTCTCAGGGCACTGCAGTCAATTACTACGTCTCATGCTGTTTTACTTGCTACAAAGCATCATCCAAGCATTTTCTAGCAAGACCTTGTGGGTAACTACGTCCTGTTCAAGAAAAACATGTATGTCCATGCACTGATAGGTATGAGATCAGTGCCAACTTAGCCATTTGGATTAATGCCTTTTTGGTTTGGCTTCTGTGGTCTGAAGCCTCTTAGCTCAAGCTGTGATAGAGTTCAAAAACAAAATAAAATACATTCTTAAAATTAAACCGAGTACATTTGGAGTACAAAGCCTTATCTGCTATCGGTCTGTTGTGCCTCTGCAGTGTTAAAACTTGCCCCAGCTTTTCCCTCCTCTCTCCCTTTTCCAGACCTCATTATCTCTTATTCAACCCCACAGTTGTGCCGGTCCCCTCTCTTGGCCGTCCCGGTTCTTCCCTTCGTTGCTGCTGCTCCCGTTGTGTGCGTGGGGGAAGTGGGAGGGCGAATCCCAGCGGGAAGCGCAAACCCAACCAGCTACGCAGCAGCGAAGGGAACGAGACACACATTTTGCTGGGGAGAGAGCCAAAATTATGGCTTGTGGCCAGCACTGGAAAGGGCAGAAGATAACAGCGCCCACGGATTAAAGAACAAAAACGGCTAGAAATAAAGTTTGGTAGGTCTCCGTCTACAGGATCATTAAAGGGATTGAGTGCGAAGGAGTGCAAACCCCAGCACTGACGGAGGGGACAAGCCTCAGAGGAGAGCGGGAGCTACAGCCCAGAGGCAAGAAGTCAGAAAGCTGGTGAAGTGAATTAAAGAGACCATAGAGCCATCATCCAGAAATCTGCGGAACGGCTAGGCCTTTCAATCACGGCTACAATACGTGGGATTTTCCTTTTCCAGTTGCATCTCTGTAGTCGAGCGAGAGCACTCACATGGGAGAGCTTGCCCTAACACAGTAGAAGCCATAGCTAACATGCAGAAAAATTCATCCATCGCCATTGCTAATCCAGCCTTTTTCATTTATGACTCTATTCACTGTATTGTGTTATTTAGAGAGATGATATATCCAGAACAATTTCCCAGAGAGGCTACAGTACTGAGGTGTCAGCTGTTCTAGAAGCCACTTCTCTAAATCAAGTTTTGAAAGGAAATTGATGGCAGACAGTATATAGTACTGACTCCTCAAAAGTAACCTCGTCTAACACGCACTGTACGGTCCTATTTCTGAGCATATTTTTCCCTTGTGCAAATGCTGTAGATACTTTCCAATTCTCTGTGAGATTGGGAAAACATTAACAGTTTGCAGAAAGGGGAAAACAGGAGTGACAGTGAAGAACAGTGAAGACGGTGAAATCTCGCCGGTTTAGCACGTCGGTGCTTCTCATTCTCTGCTGATCCAAGGCAGTAAAGGGAATAAGAACAGAAAATAAATAATATTCCTCAGAAAGACATAAAAATGTAAGTCTTACTAAAATCCACATTTGCCCCGCCAGTCCCTCCAGCAAACCGGATCAGTTTGCTTTGCTCATGTGAGTATTTTCATTAATTTGAACTGGAACTTTGCCTGACAAAAGAGCGCGGGATCTTCCCTTTCTGGGCAGGAGCACTGTAACTACCAGCTGAAATACATCAACACTCTAGATAAGCCATGAACTATTGTATCCGTTGATTTATTGCTGATTAAAGACTCCCAAGTTGCTCCTAGTCCTGAGAATTAACGTAATTGAAAACGTTACATTAACGTATCCGAGAAATGGCCTGAAAGTGCATCAGTCTACCAAGCTGAATAAGCAAATAGGTTGCTGGTCCTTTCATCACTTTTGGTGAGAGTCCTCTGATTTCTACTACATATATCTGCAGACAGTTGAATGCACATCTCGGAGCGGTCACAACAGCAAAATTCTATTAATTTTCCTTTACATTGCATATCCTTGGTCCTTACTAAAACAAGACACTCAACTCACCGTTTAATGTTACCAAGATATAAAAGGTACTCCTACTTTTAACACATTATAAATTCCACTAATGCAACAGATTGTTTTAGAAAGAAAAGCACAGGCCTGTTCTTTTAGCAAATGGCATGCAAAACTTCAGCACAAAGTCCCATAATCTAAACAAATCAAGTGCTAACCTAATAAGAGAGTACTTTTTAAAAAATTATGAAAATGTCATGCCTTAATTGGTTGAGATGTGTGACAGCACTGCTAAAAATGCAGCAGCTTACCAACCCTGCACAACTGGAAGTATCACCAAAGATAAAGCATTATGACAAAAGTTACTACTTTTTTTTTATTTCTTCTTTTTATTGCAGTTCTGTGTTAATTGTGTTGCTTCAGGCAGATGGCCGAAAGCAACATCTCCAATTATTGGTAGCAAACCCAAGTCACTTTGGTGACCTACCTCTGCGTGAGACTGCGCAGGAGCCGGGGACAGAGTCCCAGGGAGAGAGGGCAAAATCCGCATCGGCAGCCCTTGATGGGAGGTCAGGCTTTGCTCCCCGGGAGCCAAAGTCACTGATTCTCCAAGGGTCTTTGCTTGTGCTACAAACAGGACATCGTAACGTGCATGCCATCTCTTCTACCGTTACAGACACCTACAGTGCTGTCTCTGACTTGAAGCGTACCTTGTGAGTTCTTGGCAGTAACTGGAAGTCCCCAGCCAACAATCCAGGTTGGCAAGTAAGAGGCAAATCTTGCAAACGCAATCGGTGGGCAGTGCAACTTGTTTTCCAGGAACTGGGTGAATTATAGTTAATCATTCTCAACATCGCACTGAATACACATTGGAGTGCTAAGGATGTTGTACGTAGGGCAAGGTGGCGAGGCTTCTCCAAATGGCAAAAATTATATATCATGTTTGGGGCTGTATGGCACAGCCCTACAAGTACCCACACGGAAACTCCTGGACTGAGATAACACTCAGTGGGAAAATAGGTCCTATATATTGACTTTTTATGAATACACAGCAAACAAAAGAAAACCCAAGGAGAACACATAAGAAAGCATATCATGCTTCTGTATTTCCTCAAGGTGATTTAGCATAGTAATTATTACAATGCGCACTAGGAGAGAGCACAGTACTTTAGCAATACGAAACTTCAGCACAGCATCTGTTACTAAACTTTGCTCAGAGGTAAGGAGAGGCGACCAAATTCTGGGTAAATTATAAAACAATTGAGTGGCTAGAGAAAGAAGGCTTGGAGGAGTTTAAAAACAAATCGCTCACATGCAAAACCCAAAACTACCACCACTGTCATTATGCCTGCACACAAAACCCGATGATAACATTCAATTATTAGGAAGCTGATGTGAGACACTTTAGCAAATCCAGTGGATTACTTGAATTTGCAGCTTCTCTGCTGCTTTAAGGAAAATGCAGGCAAGATACAGACCCTTCAGGGATTGAGTATTTTGCCTTTTTAGTGCTGAATGTTGGCAGCTCCCGTGCTGCTACACTGTTTGTTGCTTATGAAAAGCAGCTGTATTTGGAGGTACTAGTAATACCCAATAGTATAAAATTTATATTTTCTGAAGAAGTCTACCTCCTTCAACACCACAATGCATGACATTCATACCATCCAAGGTGAGACTTGATAGGGAAGTAGAGGACTGATGGCTTAAAATGCTGCTTGATAGTTTACCACAGAGATAGCTGAATGAAGATAATTTTCTATCAGATTTCCAAGTTTCCAAGCAGGGTAGAGAGGAAAGAAGACTGCATCAGCAAGTCAGGATCTTTTTTTCCTAACATTTCTATAACCTTTCCTTTCTTCCTTCCACTCAAACTTCACGTTCAGGGTGAAGCACTCCCTGCTTATCTCAACTGGACATCGCCAAACAAAACTTCCACAACCACTGGAGCGTATTCTGGACAAGGAACCTAGATTTTTTTTTTCTGTCATATTATGCAAATTAATGTGCCTTAAACTATAGCCACTGGGACAGCATGCTTTTTTATTCTCACCATGGAGAAAGATAGCAGAGATCAATTTGCTAGGTGTGATTTTTAAAACCAAGGTTGTTTCACTGCTGCAAACACAGTTTTCACTTTATGCTCAAATTTTCCTCACCCATCCAAACTCAATTCATATAGTGTCTGAGAGTTTACACTTCTAGCAGCCCTTTGAAGGAGTCAAACAAAGAAATGCTGAAGGTGATATTTTTTTAGATTATTCTTTCTTCCATCAGTTATTAATCCTATAGAGAAAAATGAAAGGTTTAAAACCTTCCAACTCCTACTTGCACAGCTGACAGCAATTATGAGATGACATTGTCCAAGACAACCCCAATGAAGTAAATCATTTTAACACAGCAAAGCCTTGAAAACAACGTGGTGAGGGGAAGACTAGCAATTATTCGCATGTAGCACGCAGACGGACAGACACTCGAGCAACGAAGCGATGTCCTACCTCTCCTTGCCGGTGATAGTGCTTGGGAGCTTTTCCCATCTGCTCTAGCATTTTGCCCTTCTTACTGCTAGCAAGCGTCAGTCCCTGGTGGATGCCTGCGGATCTGTTGGTTGCCTGAGTTGGAGCCTCCCCCATCAGGGTGGACTTGATGGAGTTCACCTTGGAGCTGGAGCTGTCTAGCTGGGAGCTCTCCACGATCAGGACCGCGGCTAGTAAGAGGAGACAGCAGGAGCACTTATTCCACATCAGCACGATCATCTCCCCTCCCCCCAAAAGGATTATCTTTTTTTCTTTTTTTTTTTCTTTTTTTTTTTTAAGGCAAAGAAAACAAAAAAGAGAGAAAAAAAAGTTTTTAAAAATATCTCCCAAAGTTGTTAACAAAGCAATGGATTTCAATGCCACACACTCAAGGAACCGCTGTTCTGAGAGACACGGGAGAAAAGATAATTAAAAAAAAGAATCCCCTAGGAAAAAAAAAAAAAACAAAAAACAAAAAACAACTGTGTCAAGTCTATAGGCACTGAGCAACTATCGGGTCTGTGAAGTGATGGCTTTTTCCTCCAGGTCCTCCAGAAGTCCAGGCAATTCTTCAGCAGCTGAGAGCAACGAGGTAGGAGACAACTGCACCCAGGGCAGCTCCCCACCAGTGCCGGCACCAGCACGTTTGCTTCAGCTTCAGAGGAAGAGCGAGTTCCTTCCCCCCACTCCTCCTCTCTGGCTGCACAAGCCAGCAGAGAGGAAACTCAAACCAGACCCAATCCAAGCAGCACCGGCAAAAGCTGGGCTTCGTTTTCTTTCACTCTCTCCCCCCGCTCTTTACTTTTTATTCCCCTCCTCCTTTTTCTGTTTTTGCCTCAGCCCCTGCAGCCAGCAGGAGTGAAAGCACCCGGTCTCCTCCTCCTCCTCCTCCTGCAGCCCGACTGGTGCGGGGCAAGGGGTTCGGGGGAGTCCCAGGGCTGGACCCACCCGCGGCGGGACCACTGGGACACAGGCAGAGGGACAGACCCCCCCGGCGGGCATCCTGCACCGCTCCCCCTCACACTCAGGGGTCTCTGCCAGCCCCCCTTATTTTTATCCTTATTACTATTACTATAGCCGGCCACGGGTGTCCCTTCTGCCCACCCAGCCCTGAGCAGGGACACAGCGTGCAGCGACTTTTGCCCACTCCGTCCCCATCCCTGTTCCCCCCCCTCCAGCTCCCACCTCTTCGGAGGTCGCTCTCTCCCCAGCCTGGCAGGTTCCCCCTCTCTCCGGCCGGGGTCTACCCGGAGCCCATGGTCACGCACAGCCCCAAACACCCGTGCCACGCTCTCGACTGCACCTCGTTGCCGCTCCGGTGTCCAGCCCCGAGGTAGACGTTAAGTCTCACCGAAGGGGACGGGCGCCGGCAGGCTCCCCGCACCAGCTCCCTGAATTGTGCTGCCAGACTGAAGCGTGTGTCGAGGTGCTCCAGCTCCTTGAAATGCTCCGAAGCGCAAAGCACATTAGTCCTGCAGGGCTGGGAAAGCGTGGGGCTGGCACACAAATCCTGCCACGTCTTACGCCCAAGCCTGCAAAGCCCACTGCCCAGGTAAAGGGCATCTCCAGCCGCTAACGACGCACCACACTACTCCTAAACGCGACACTTCTCAATGCCACAAGCAACCAGAGAGACTTATTTTGTATTCATCGCCTCAGTTTCCTTGGCACGCGCACACATCCGATGTCTGCGAAACACCCAGGTGCCACTAACTACCCCCACACGCTCCAAGGCCGTCGCACCTCCTGCTGCAGCACCGCAGCATTGTGTTTCAGAAGGAGGAAGGTAAAACAGGGACACAGAGTGCAAAATTAGAAGAGGGGTAAACCCAGCTCTTAACTTTTCCCTGTTACCTGCAAAAGATTTAGTGCAGTGAACATCACCATGAGGCACTTGGGTACTGCAGCGGAGCAGCTACAAGCCCTTGTTTTTCCTCTGGACATGTGAAAGTGGGGTGGAGGGAACAAAAGATGATGACAGGAGCAGCCCCTCTTGCTGTCCCACAGGTTCATGTACGAACACTACCTTGCCTGGGAACAATACAGAGAATTTTCATGTTTTCCTCCTCTCAGCTATCAATCTTTCCCATTACTCTACCTCTTGACACTGCAGAAGGGGTGAAGAAGAAACACGCACCAGAAATTTCATTTCTTCTAAATTAACAACTGTGCAAAAGGAAGATGCTAAGGCAAGAAACACCAGGGAGGGGTCGGGCACTCCTTCGGCCCCCAGAAGCCCTCCCGGGGGCTCGGGAGCTCTCTTGCAGGGAACACGCTGTGAACCACATCACCTTGGGTGAGTTTTTCAAAGTGCTGCCTATCTATCGACATGTGACTGCTAGCAGCGTACCCTAATGTTAGGGCTTGTATTACATTAAACAGAGCATCTTGTAACGAGTAGATTAATCTACATCTTTTTCCACAGCTCAAACCTTAGGATGGTTTGGGAGGATTTAATCCCATCTCACAGGGCAGACTGGTTTTTTTTCCCCCAATCATTCTTATATAATGATCTCTTACTTTAGGGGATTACTACAGATTTTTTTTTTAAGTAACAACTGAAATGACATACCAACCCCCAAGACTGGATTTTAAACTGTTCTACAGAGGATGGCATTTGCTCTAACTCAGGCTTCAGATAAGCTCATGTTTACTGGTTTTGAAGCCAGAAGCAATTTTATTAGCACTTGATTTCAGAAAATTAGGTTCAGAATTAAAATTTCACTTTTTTCTGTATTCAGCTTTGCAAGGAATAAGGAATGAAAAAACCCCCACCTTTGCCTTCCTCATAGCATTTCCTTTTTTCCACCTTTGTGCAGCCTTAAACAAACTAAAATTACATTTCTCTCTTCATCCCTGATAATTCCTCAAGACATTGGTAAGGAAACGTTTCTAAAAGATCAGAAAGCAATTTGCAATTTCACAAGAAAGCGACAAAAGCCGGTCCTTTTTGATTGTTTTTGACTTGACTTTTGACACCCAGCCCTACTGGTGTTTCACCCCTTCCAAACCCAAAGCAAGCAGCCGTCAGGGCCACAGGAAAAGCTCTAATGGATAATTTCGCGGAAAGTTGGCACAAAGCCATATAAACACCACACACACACAAAATGGGTAAAATCGTAGCCAGAGAAACAGGCAATCCACTCAGACGTACGTACGCGGTGTATACACACACGTGCACAGGCAGCCGCACGCACAGACACGGGAGGGCTGACGTCCACCCACCCATTCACCTAGGATCAAGCCGAGATGGAGAAGCACAAACAGGTAACAGCTCCCCGATTTCTAATAACAAATCAGTCCTGCATTTCCTCTTCTGTTACCATGGACTGCCCTAGTCACATTTTCTTTTCTTGCTGGGGATAAATACACTGCGGGGAACACTTAACTTACAAATCACAACTCTTTTCCTGGTATTCTCCATATACGCCACCACGGAGCCTTAGCCCTGATCTGTCCTGCTTCACGGATGGTACCAAATTTGTAAAAATACCAAGTCAGCAGCTTTTGCAAGATTGCCACAAAAACTGGACAAGCAAAATGTCATTTTCTCACCCCTAAGACATTTGATAAAATTATAGGTGGGTCTGGACTATTGATCAAAATATACGGGAGGCTGTGTTAATTCACACTTCAAACAGCCTCCTTCTCCAAAACTCTTTATATAACTCAGAGTATGTGGTATATTTAACTGGGCTCTGAATCTACGAACCGACTTGTTTGTTAACTTTGGTGACAGCAATAGCAACCCACCCTGAATTATAACTTCTTTGGACGTTGTCTCACCTGTATTTCTCTTACCCAGGAAGGAACAGAAATTTGTAAGTCAGTGGTGGAGTATTCTCCACCAGAGTTGCTTTGAATAAGGGAAGATTACAAAAAGAACAAAATAAACCGATGAGACATGCAAAGAGAATCCATAACAATAAAAAACACAATATGATGATCTCATGCAAGTATCATTCAGCTCTTCTGGAAATAAATGGACATTTGTGGTATTAAAGAGAGGCACACAGCACCTAAGGGACGAGACTGTAAGTTGACTCTGTCTAAATTAAATACATATCTATTAATATTTTATTAAAATTATTACTTAAATTAATAAACGTAACAAGTAAGCCACATTTCAAGTCCTTAGATGTAAATAACAAAGTCCCCATATGTTCATAACCTCTAAACATTTGAAGAAAACTAAGGAAGAAAGCTTAAAGCTTCTCAAATATTTAAAAACAGGTGCCCAAACTCATTTTTTCAAATCAGACCAGATTCAGCTAAGTATGAAGTTCATCAGTCAGCTGGATCCAACTACATTTCCAGACATTAATTTAAATTTAGAGGGAATGGAAATGGGTATCTTTGCAACTGGGCAAGACCTATATTGTAACTCACTGCTCCGAAGGGAAGATGGTTTGTAGCATCTCTGAAGAAGTGGAAACAGGTTTTGCTTTGCTGCCCTGACAGACGGTTCCCTCCCGAGGAAGCAACAACCCACGTCACTGCAGGACAACTGCTGCCAGACCAACGTGCTGCTCAAGCCCAAAGAAGTCACAAGTAGATGGACAGAACACTAAACCTGTGCTGGGGAGGAGCTTCCCCCCCCTTAACAGCTGCATAATATATAGGTACACTTGTAGAGAAACAAGCTGTTTGGTATTTTGGTTTTTTTTTTTTTCACTTTTAACTAGCATTCAGCCCATGCCTTGTGTACCTCAAGCTGGTCACATACAGACTTCCAAACCTAGGTGTGGATTTCCTATGCTCCTCGTTGCAGCAACACTTATGTCCTTTAAAGACACAGATTTACTTCGCAGTATCTACTCAAATAAGATGGTATGGAGGCAAAAATACCAAGAAGCTCCTCCACTTTTCAGCGTTATGACTGCGCCACCGCAACCTAGATTTTGAGGGATGCTAAGAACTTCTAAAACATTTAAGTGCCACAGGGGATCTAGCAGAGGCACCAGCTACAAGAACCAGTGGTTAAGTGCATTAAGCAGAGGCTGTCAGACTACTGAAGATCAGGCAGAAAGAGAGTTTACCACTAATTCACCACAATATTTGGGTGCCTAGTTTGGAGAAGCTAAGGCCCACACACTTTGTGTATGTGTGTGCATGGTTAGTCAAACATTTCAAAGCAATAGTCTTTTGCCCAAAACAACATTTTGCAGCTAACCGTACAGAATAACAGAAAAAGCATGACCCCAAAAACCACAGTCAGTGGCAAATGGGATGGTCACTAG